GATTTCCTGGTGGGGGTTCGAGCCGCCCTGTTCTTTAACTCCTGGCCTTATTTCAGACCAAAAAAATGACATTTTCCACGCCTTTTTTTAGTCCTGGCCTCTGGGCAGAAATTATGTCAAAGAATAAGCAAATATTTCTTTTTCTTTCTTATTCATTAATTTGGAATTGAAACGACAAATACGTTCTTTTACGGCGTTTTTTTCCTCGAAAACCATACCCAATTCCAAACCAAAATGAGCGAAGTGTATACCCGTTTTTAGACCGAAAAAGCGCAAAAACCACATCCTTTGGGGTGGCACATACCTATGTGGCTTACAGTGTATTTAAGGGAATATTCCAAGGGAGAGAATCCAAGTATCGTAAAAATTCTGTCCGCGGGCCTGAGTGCCCTCTAAATGTTTCATTTGTCCGAGACATGCACAGTTGGAAGAGGTCGAAAGAATTGATTTGAAGGGATTAATCTTGAACCAAACAGCACAAAGGTAAATACAAATTTGGACGACTCTCCAACGAAAAGGAAATGATTTTCATTTTAACAAATGGTTGCAGACTAAGAAGATAACTTGTCACAATATAATTTCTGCTCTTTATTCTCTAACACCCATGTCCCATTTTGCTCTTATGTGTTTCACTTTCAAGAAAACATTGAAGTATTATAAAATATATAGGTAATAACAACTTTATATAAAGCAGTCTATTTGCTCATAGGGATAATGCTAGTAAAACTAATTAGTATATTGCCAAATGTAAAATCACTCAGAAGCAAATATTGTCCGGAGAAAATCAATCATACTTCAACTCGTTACCGGGTCTAACATAACGAAGTTATAGTGACCTCAGGTATCCTACAAAAAAACTGACAAGTTTTCTATCACCATATTAAAACCATTTTTTCCCCTCTGTCAGTTTACGATTGTCCTGGTTAAGGTGCCTTTTACTTGGATAGTTACCTCTACAAATCTCTTGCTGTTTTTCTACCATAAGCTGATAACTCTCTTCGTTACTTTAATTTCCTCATCAATCAACCATGCACTGAATGTTACTTCTCAAAACTGAGGGAAAAGAAAAAGGCAAAACATACAACTGTCAATTAAAATAAAACACTCTGAAAGGTTTCAGTTGAGAAAGATGTTCACAGTCTAAATAGTGTGCACTTGGCAGCTCTTTGACAATTCGTTCAGACAAGAGAAAGGCAAGAGATATAGCAATAGCTGTAGCACTTACATTTTCAAATCAGTTCCATATTGATTCGCGAGTTGAATGTCTTCACTGTGTTGTTGGTACAGTTCTAATATTATACTATGCATCGTGTAATAGAGCGAACAGTTTCAGCTGCAGTAACTTTCATCAGGTATTGTCAGAAAAAAAATAAACACAAGCGATCATGACCGTTCAGGAGAGACTAACTCGAAACTACGATGCCGTTAGGAAATTTCAAAAATGATTTTGGGGTTATTTGCGCATGGGTGAATCTAGATGACTCATTATTCTATTTTGGTTCTTGTAAAAAAATGATGAGAATCTAATGTATTAAAAACACCTGTGAAGTATAATGATTTACATATTTCCTTTTTTAACGTAACGGATTTCGATCAGAACTACATGCAAATGACAAACCTTAAGAAACTTCCCGAGTATTGGCCATTTCAAATCATTCAAAATTTTCGTAATAGTTCCAGGAGTTCCATAATAGTTCGTAATAGTTCTATCTACTCCAAAAGAAAGCCATTCGAATTATCACCTTTTCTCCTCCAAGAACTCGTTCTAAGCCTCTTTTCTCGAAGCTTAATATTCTTTATCTCCACTCACTTTATAAATTTCATGTTTCTTGTTTTGTATTCTCAGACTTTAATCGGTCTCTTTCCTCCCTCCTCCATTTTAATCGTGATTTTCATGATTATCTAACTCGTTCTCGTTTCAACTTGCATAAAATTAAATGTCCCTCAGGTATCAATTTGCGATTAGTTCTCAAGCCCCGACTATTTGGAACGATATCCCCTTGACTGTCCGTGACAGCCTTACCACTACTAACTTCAAAAAGAAACTAAAACTTCACTTTTCAAGCCTAAATTGAACTAGCGCAGGATTCTCATAGCTTATTGTTAGTTTATTTGTCACTAGTTATGGACTGTTATAGGCCTGTTATAGGACTGCATGGATGTAAACTTTTTTAATTTCAGTTTTGTATCTTGTTTTAGTTTTGTAGTTTTGCAGTTTTGCCTACAGTCTTCATTTCTATGTAAAATAATTTCTGTCATTCTGACCACAGGCCGTATAAGCCCCCGGCTTTGGCTTTACTGAGTTTGTACTATATGTGCGATGGAAAATAAAGTTAAGTTAAGTTAAGTTGTGCTATATTGTGTCGATAATATTCATACCGGCGGTTACACAAACCTTGACACTTTATTAGTCAGCGATACCAATATCAATACCAGAACATGTCAAAAACTTACATTTATAATTGCAAATACAGTAATCGGAAATACTGTGGCAATAGCCAATTCAATACATATTCTGTATGCAGTGCTGTTCTATACTGAGAAGTACAATAACTTTAAGCAATTTAGATTCAGAAGTTAACATGACGCAGAATTTTGGGCTTGATTTTAGTTACTGAACACTCTAACCTGTCAGTGGGTTGTTAAAAGTGACTTCATCATAGTGACCTCTCTAATACGGACACCTCTGATCTCTAATACGGACACTTCGCTCTGTCCCTTCGGTGTCCGTATTAGAGAGGTACGTTCGACTAAACTCCCCATTACAAGATTCACGGCGAGATTATTCGGTAACTGAATTTGCATATTTTTGTATTTCAACATGAAACGCAGTTTTCTGACTAGTATTTGAACAGCCACTCCCTCCCCTTAAACAAAATAGGGGAGCCTGGGGCGGCTACACACAGGCTATTTTCTGACGTGACATCAGACATTACATTACCCTGCGTAGTAGGCGCAAAAGGGGGAGGGGGAAAAGCGGGGAAAAGGGAAGGGAGCCTTCCCAATCCCCCTCCCTTTTTCCTTCCTTGCTATTCCCTACCCGTTTCGACGCCTGCTACGTAGGCTAACAGCATCATTGCAATGCCCCTCAAGGGTCGTGTTGCAAAAAGTTAATTCAGCCTTTCTTTTAAGTCTCGTTCGTGGTTCGTTTCACAGTTCATCCTTTCGCTCGCCTTCACTAAAGAAATGCTGGCCACATTTTCTGCAGTATCTGTCTTGTATAATTTTCACGCCGTCTTCAAAGTAAATCTCAACGGGCTGTTCTGCGTCCATTATGTCATGTTGTCCATCGGGGCAGGGAACAATCTTTTCCACTCGGTACGAATCGGCGGTGAAAGTAACTTTAGAATGAACAACTTCTTGTTTAAATTCTTTGTAGGTCTTGCGAACTCTCTTGAGGCCTACGGCTTTCAGCAATTTTTTCACCGGTTTCTCCACCACTTCCTTGAATACTTTTTTCACCGGTTTCGCTACCTTCCTGAGAACATTTTTCTCAAACCGACGAAGGACTCTGCGTAGCCGCAATCCGGAAGTCTTGTCTGGTGAAGTTAGAAGAATTGTGAAGAATACAAGACTGACAAGAGCTAAGGCAGCAAAAGTCGTGGCCCTCATTGTGACTGGCGCTTGCAACACACTTTTGGACTTTTCAACTAAAAGCCTTTTATGTTCTATGAAAATTCGGAAGGTAACAGGACGCTTTTAATAACATTAAATGACGAGCATTAAAGGGAAAATTCCCAGTTCATGACCTGTCACGCGTTGATTTTATGCTTCTTGGTTTTCAAAGAAAACCACGCACTGGCAGTTCCACGAGCGACTGTTTTATCTTTTGTTTTGCTTTTTTTGTTTTTGCGGTGCATATACTGTGCATTCACCAGAGAGTGAGAGCTGAATAAAGAAACAGACCGAACCGAGGATTCTTTTAGGCGATTAGAGAACTCAAGACAACGATACCATGATGCCCTTTTTCTTCTCTACGACTGATCAGAAGCCTGATTATGGCTCCTGATTATATGATTAAAAAATTCCGTGATTCAAATTTGGCCTTGTCTGAAGGAGCTAACATCATTAACATTATTTAGTGGAGCGCCTCTAGGCAATGTATTCGCTGACATGATATAAACTTGGTTTGCAAACTGACCTGGAAGTACTTCAAGTATGTCAATGAATCTTTGGCATAGGAAGTGGGATAATATAAGATCTGTTTAGTTTAAAACCCTTTTCAATGGACTGCCGAGTGAATGGATTTCAACCAAGCAGATGAGGCTTTTTGTTGAAAGCCCCGCACTGAGTGTTTTTATACTAAGACATCATAGATATTTTCGGTGATGTACGATGTCTTTGCTATGACGTCACGGATAGCTTATAAGCCCGGAAGCAGGAGCCCAGCCAAATCGAAAGCTTGCATACTTATTTCCACCGATGGCAACTAACCTATCGTGACTTGGAAATTGAAAGAGAGCTATCACACAGATCGAGAAATGCTGCGATCACCAATCATAATGTTAACTTTGGCTTTGTTTTCATTCATGCTGATCAAGACAAACGCCTGTCCTAATCACGAACATGATTTCCGCGAGGAAGGTTTCAGCGTGGTCACGATATCAGTGCACAGTTCTGTTAGATGGATCACTTCAGATCGGAGTAAGTTTCTAGGCATAACAGTTTCGTCAAGCAGAGCTCAAGGAGCAGTTGAAATATCCAAGCAATTACTGATCAAGAGTTCTGTGACAGTGTGCTCAAAATGTCGAATGGCGACAGGAATGGTGTTTATGACCCTCGACCAACTGAAACAGGTCACAGCTTTGCAACCAGCTCTACAACCGCTTCTTTCAAAGGCCATTGCGGGACAGTAATCCGGCGTTTCAGATGTTACGAAAGCAAGGTTTCACAACAATTTAGTGATCCATTCAGTTGTCCATGTCGTTTGAATTTTGATGAGGTCATGTGAAAACCAAAGCAATTGAGAATGCCAAACGCATTTCTTTTTTTAATTGACGTTTGAGTGGACAAACAGATAATTAGACCATGCCCTCCCAATATCTCCATATAAACGCTTAAAAAATGCCTGATTATAGGTTAAAAACCAGGATACAAATAAATAAATTAGCTATGTCCCGATAAACACAAAAGAAAACGCAGAAATGGCTATACTGAGGTGAACTGCTCAGCAGAACTCGGTAGCTTCATTGTGCATTGTTCTAATCCTTTCAATGAGATAAATTTGTTCAAACTCAACTCCTCTACATTTTTCGTATGGTCTGGTTCTTCTGCTTTTTTTTACAAGTGGTTTTGTTTTCTCAGAATAGCGCGGCGTTACTCCAGAACAAAACGTGCGACCCTAGTATGCATGATGTGGTATGAAACCGGATTGATTTTGTGCAACAGTTTTTCTTTCGCTTCAGCCGGACAATTTAGTCGTTGCAAAAAGTAGAACAGCCTTCTCTAACATAGTTACGCAACAATAGCTTGCTCGCACAACTGATATCAGTGGAAGCTCGTTATAACGAAGGGCCAAGGGACTGGCACAATTTGTTCGCTATAACGAGGTTTCGTTTTATCGAGGTTCTTTTACATATATTTTACTATTACTGGGGTAGAGAAAGTCGTTCGTTATATCGAGAACTTTGTTATTTAGAGGTTCGTTATATCGAGGTTCCGGCTGCATCGAACTACTCGCGTTGAACTCTTGGGGTGAACGTGCTTTTTCTCTCAAAAGAAACTCTGTACATAGGTATACGGATGGAAGCATTGACACATTATATATTAATTTGTACCATAAAATAAGATATAAACCATTAGAATTTATGTTAACTAAAAGGAATTTAGGATGACACTATACTTTTCATCCATTTGCAACACTTCATCCTTTATTTTCAAAGCTCCCTCGCATCAGGGTGATAAGATTAGATGCAACTCCTTAATACTCACGGCTTGAAATCGTCTCGCGCGGTTAAAAAAGGCCCTTTTACACGTCAAAAGAGACGAAATGGCACCGGTTAGGAGCAAGTGCCAATTCCAAAACCGAATTTTTATGGAACGAAACATTTGTCTTTAGTTACCGGCCGAGCTGTTCCAGAAATGTTTTGCTCGTGTAATCAGGCCTATTAAAATTAGCATGCATGATTTGTGACTAACGCCAATGAGACTCGTCACTGACTCGTTGCTGAAGACTAGCTGGTCAACATAACACAGGAGTACTTCTTATATAAAAGCTACAAAACAACAAAAGAGTGATGTCAGGCGCTGAAATTCACGACCCAGCTGATCAAACTTAGAGAGTCTTATAGCTAAATACAAAAAATCTCTGATGGATCAGTGTCGCTGCAAAATGTTAACTTTCATTTTAAAGTTCATCCTTTCGCTCGCCTTTACTGAAGAAATGCTGGCCACATTTTCTGCAGTATCGATCTTGTATAATTTTCACGCCGTCTTCAAAGTACATCTCAACGGGCTGTTCTGCATTCACTATATCATGCTGTCCATCGGGGCAGGGAACAATCTTTTCCACTCGGTACGAATCAGTGGTGAAGGTAACTTTAGAATGAACAACTTCTTGCTTAAATTCTTGGTAAGTTTTGCGAATTCTTCTAAGCCCTGCGGCCGTCACTACCTTTCTAAGCACATTTCTATCGAACTCGTGTAGGACTTCCTTCACAGGCTCCGCTGCAGGTCGGAGAACGTTTTTATCAAACTTGTGGAGGACATCATTCGCAGGCTTTGACACCTTTCTAAGCACATTTTTATCGAATCGATGCAGTTCTCTAAGAAGACCACTCATCCTGGCTGATGCTATATGCAACAATGTGCTTAACCCTTAAGGCTTTTCATTTCGAAACCTTTTTATAGTCTCAGTTATTGTGTGACTCGCTTTCAAGGGAAAATTTCCGTTCGACGCCATTCAGTCCCAGCGAAGCGTACTTTCAGTTTCACCTGTTTTTCACCTGTTTACGTCCTGTTTTTCTCAGAAAACCATTGATCCAGCTGAAACATCTATTTTTATTACAATAGTAGTATCTTCTTAGTCTAATTTACAAAGGGAAAGAATAAACTGATCTAGCAAAACGCCTAAAGGGGTTGTTTTGCGGTCAGCCGCGGCTTATCACACCCAATCAGGACACCTGCCAGCGAAAAGTAAAATTTTGCTTTCTGCGCATGCCCGAACTACGCAAGCTGATATTTTGCATCTGGATCAGAAGGCCTTGAAGTACGACCTGTGAACGGGATTGTGGTGAGTTTTAGCTCTTTATAGCATGACAGTGACCAGAAAACCGCTCGACTAGCTCCAAAACGCGTTTTTCGGCAAAGTCTCCATGAGCCAATGGGTTAATTTGTCTTTAAAGTTTTCTAAAAAAACATTCCTTGCATATATTTCGATCCCTCGCTCGGCAGCCAAGACAGCCGAAAGTCCCTGACGAGTTGTGGGTCTTCTTTAAGTTAACAAAGCGGTTCACAGAATTTGAGAAAGCCATCATTTCTGGTCCTTCTTATTCACAATAAACAGCGTTTTACAAACGAAAAATGAATTAAGTATAAAAGATTTACTAGAGTTCATCCGGAAGCCGTAAGAGTAACGGGAAAACCCCCTATGTATCTCGTAGTTTGCATCAATTCTAAGAAATTCATTAGTTTGGCTTAGAAGGATGGCGTCTCAAGTACTGGCTGTTTAACATGCTTTTTATTCTGTATGTGCTTCAAGCCTTGGTCCCTATGGCGTCTTGTAAACGTGTTCCAGCGATGTTCGACCCTGTGACAAAGCAAGTGTACTACGATCCTCAAGCACAGTCACAAGTGAGCGGCGCTGGCCCTAACCAAGGCTTAGTAATAACTGTGATGCAAGACGTCAAGGTGGTGTCTACAAGCCGAGAGAGTAAATCGGAGAACTTCGGAGTTAACTTAGGGTTAGGAGACACCACTCTGATAGAACTGAATTCACAAAAGGCTAAAATCAGGGAAACCAGGCAGGAAAACCATCATCGAGTGAACATGGAAATTAAAATGCCAGGAGAATGTAGCGAGGGCTGCCGGGAACAGGCTTTCGATATTGCAAAAAATGCGCTTTATGGTGGATCAAAACAGAAGCAAATCAACTGACCACAGCCAGAGGCATGTATCCAAGAGCCAGGGAATATGTTTAATAATAAAGACTTGGAAGAAAGCAGTTCTTGCATTAGCCTGTGAGCAATCACTGGACACGCACACGACGGAACATTTGAGCCTCGAGTGTGAACCTACTTTGCTTGCGATTCTCGAAGAGATTGCTCACATGGAAATAGTTTGCATAATTTAGCAGTGTATTAGGTTGTTTTGAGTAAATAAATGCCTCTGCTCGATTTTATACCGCTGGGCAATCATATATCATATATTATTAGACTGATTTAACTTCTATAACAAAGTCAACGTGGCGAGTGTTCTCAAGTATTCGTTGAGGAGTAGTTTTGGCTGTCTCAGTGTAAATCGAGCAGCAAAAAAACATGTTGGTTGACAAAATCTCATGAAAAACATAAATAAATTTTAAAAAAAAGGTCCGCAAATAAGTTCCGTTCCTCACGGGAGGTGAGGACTGGCTCAATGTAAATCGACCCGCGAAGAACACGCTGGTTCTGATATACGTTTTGAAAATATAACCCCATGCCTTGCTCAAAGACCGCTTAAAATTCAGTTCACAAAGTAAAAGAGAACACTGATGGATCTGAGTCGTGAAGCGAACACGCTACCCCAATATAAATCGAGCTGCAACGAACCATGAAAAATTGAGCGTAAAACCCTATTCCTTGATCGGCTGCTAGCTGCTTTAAACGCAATTTATAAGGCAAACCAGAGCACTTCAAAAGCATTCCTATCATTTTGAACTTACTGACCAGTAGAAACATCGCATCAATTTATTCAGTCACAATTTGTGAACAAAAAACAAAGGATTGTGCACGGTCAGGGAGCTTCCAACATAAACTACAGCAACATTGTTTTCAACTTTGATGTTTGCCGGCTTCCCTAACCAGTCTCCTCTACTAACTATGATTTGTACCATAAAATAAGATGTAAGCTTTTAGCATTTATGTTAACTAAAAGGAATTTAGGATGACACCATACTTGTCATCCGTTTGCAACACTTCATCCTTTATTTTCAAAGCTCTCTGTGATTAGTTGAAGTACATCAAAACATATCAGAGTGCTAAGATAAGATGCAACTGAATATTCATGGCTTGAAATCTTCTGCGGTTAAAAAAGGCTCGTTTACACGTCAAAAGAGATGAAATGGCACCAGTTAGAAGCAACTGCCAATTCCAAACCGAACATTTATGGAACGAAACATTTGTCTTTACTTACCGGACGAGCCGTTCCAGAAATGATGTGTTCGTTTAATCCCGGGGGGCGGGGGGGGTACTTTAGGAATTTCTGGGTGGGGATGTGCCGCTGGGACCCTGGAACCCTTAACCTATACCAGAGCTACTTCAGCTGAATTTTGCTACCCTATACTAGAGTAAACTCTCCAAATCCCCCCTATCCTAGAGTAGCTGTTTCGCTAGTCTAGATAAAATCTTCAACCAACTGATCAGTTTCCTAAAAAATGATACCCTATTCTAGACCCAAACGCTCTGATTTATATACCCTATCCTAGAGTAAACTGCTTGAAAACCATACCCTTCACAGCGGCACATACCTATATAGCCCATATATGGCAGTACCCGCCCCCCGGTGTGTACTCATGCAGGCCTATCAAAATTAGCATGCATATCTTTGTGACTCGCACCAAGACTCGTTGCTGAAGACTAGCTGGTCAACATAACACAGGAGTACTTCTTATATAAAAGCTACAAAACAACAAAAGAGTGATGTCAGGCGCTGAAATTCACGACCCAGCTGATCAAACTTAGAGAGTCTTATAGCTAAATACAAAAAATCTCTGATGGGTCAGTGTCGCTGCAAAATGTTAACTTTCATAAGTTCATCCTTTCGCTCGCCTTTACTGAAGGAATGCTGGCCACATTTTCTGCAGTATCGATCTTGTATAATTTTCACGCCGTCTTCAAAGTACATCTCAACGGGCTGTTCTGCATCCACTATATCATGCTGTTCATCGGGGCAGGGAATAATCTTTTCCACTCGGTACGAATCAGCGGTGAAGGTAACTTTAGAATGAACAACTTCTTGCTTAAGGGACTGTGCAATAATTATCAGGAGGGGGGGCTGAAAAACTAGAGGGGGGGCATTACATAAAATTGCTGCCAAGATAGGGGGGGCTCAAAGTAAAATCAGTCATTTGACGGAGGGGGGGCGTTAAGTTTTATTCGAAATGTAAATAAAATTAAACGCAATAAAAGATTCTCAATACAGGCATCATGATAGACTGCAACAAATATCAATACGGACAGCTGTTAAACGATTATTGAAAATATTCCATCAAAATGAAACGCAAATTCACAACTGATCAATTTTAACCTGTCTTCTAATTAATTGAGCTGATCCTATGTAAAGCAAAAATCATGAACTTGTTTTTCAGCTTCCCCCATAAAACAATGGGAATCAAACAGATCTCGTAGACAAGCTTTGTCGGTTTTTGATGTGAATAAAAGTAATGTTTCTTCATCGACTGAATCGATTTGCTGAATTCCATATATATCTGGCTCATAACAAAGTTCATCAGGCTCTCCCCCCAAGGATCTAAATATAATGCAAGCTCTTTTTCGTCTGTTATTTGAAGCGTTCAATCTCCTGTTCTTTGATTTTTTTTCTCTGCTCCTTTCTCTTTCTGGCTTCAGAAGTTTTAGATTTTAAGCCAATGTGGTAAGCACCCCGGTACTTAGCAAATGCTTTGTCTAAATCTTGGGTGGGTGGTCGGGGGGGGGGGGTGCGACGTTATTTTTAACATAACAGAGGGGGGTTTAAACTAATTTTTTTGGTTTTGGAGGGGGGGTACTGTCTAAGTTTTTGCTAGATAACTCTAGTTTTTCAGCCCCCCTCCTCCTGATAATTATTGCACAGTCCCTAAATTCTTGGTAAGTTTTGCGAATTCTTCTAAGCCCTAGGGCCGTCACTACCTTTCTAAGCACATTTTTATCGAACTCATGTAGGACTTCCTTCACAGGCTCCGCTACTTCTCGGAGAACATTTTTATCGAACTCGTGGAGCACTTCATTTAACAGGCTCCGCTGCAGGTCGGAGCACATTTTTATCAAACTTGTGGAGGACGTCATTCACTGGCTCTGACACCTTTCTAAGTACATTTTTATCGAATCGATGCAGTTCATCAAGGATCTTGCCAATGAATCCAGAACTCTTCTCTGGCGAGGACACCAGAACTAGGACGAAAACCAGAGCATGAACAGCGCACAGCAGACCCCTCATCCTGGCTGATGCTATATGCAGCAATGTGCTTAACCCTTAAGGCTTTTCATTTCGGAAACCTTTTTATAGTCTCAGTTCTAGTATTGTGTGACTGGCTTTCAAGGGAAAATTCCCGTTCGACGCCATTCAGTCCCAGCGGTGCGTACTTTCAGTTTCACCGACTGCGTCCTGTTTTTCTGAGAAAACCATTGATCCAGCTGGACCATCTATTTTTATTAAAGTAGTAGCATTCTCCTTAGCCTAATTTACAAAGGCAAAGAATAAACTGATCTAGCAAAACGCCTAAAGGGGTTGGTTTGCGGTACCCCGGCTTACTATGAGACCCTGTCAGACCTGCCAGCCAGTACCTCTCCCGCAAATTTCAGTGATCACTTAAATAAGTTTTGTAAGAGTTAAATCATCCCTTATCCTAACAATCATTTTCCACGTTATCCCTTATCCCTAAAATGTTTTGGCTATAGTTTTAACCCTGAACAGGACAGGGCCTCTAAGCTTGATCTGGGAGCCGGAAGGGACCCAGTCATAAAAACGCCTTATTAAGTATGATAATATGTAAGCTGGACATCAGAAATTTGCTAAATTTCTAAGAACAATCATGCCGTATGGAAAGAAAGCATCTTGGTGGGGCGCCATAGTCACGCGATCATTGAATCTCTTTGTCTAATTTTCTAAGAAAACCTATTCCTTCCATTTCGATCCCTCCCTTCGGCAGCCAAGACAGCCGAAAGTCCCTGACGAGTTCTGGGTCTTCTTACAGTTAACAAAGCAGCTCACAGAAGTTGAGAAAGCCATTATGTCATCATGATCGATCATTTCTGGTCCGTCTTATTTACAATAAACAGCATTTTACAAAGGAAAAGTGAATTAAGTATAACAAATTTATCAGAGTTCAACCGGAAGCCGTAAGAGTAACGGGAAAACCCCCTATGTATGACGTAGTTTGCATCAATTCTAAGAATTCAGTAGTTTGGCTTAGTAGAGTGGCGTCTGTTAATTTGTCTCCTGAGCTCAAGTACTGGCTATTTAACATGCTTTTTATTCTGTATGTGCTTCAAGTCATGGTCCCTCTGGGGTCTTGTGAACTCGTTCCAGCGATGTTCGACCCTGTGACAAAGCAAGTGTATTACAATCCTCAAGCACAGTCACAAGTGAACGGTGCCGGCACTAACCAAGGCTTAGTGATGACTGTAGCGCAAGACGTCAAGGTTGAGGCTACAAGCCGAGAGAGCAAATCGGAGAACTTTGGAGTTAACCTAGGGCTAGGAGACGCCCCTTTGATAGGACTGAATTATCAAAAGGCTAAAATCAAGGAAACCAGACTGGAAAACCATCATCAAGTGAACATAGCAATTAAAATCCCAGGAGAATGTAGCGAGGGCTGCAGGGAACAGGCAAACAAAGCTTTCGATATTGCAAAGAATGCGCTTTATGGTGGATCAAAACAGAAGCAAGTCAACTGACCACAGCCAGAGGCATGTAACTAAGATCTAGGGACCATGTTAAATAAGAAAGACTTAAAAAAGAAAGCAGTTCTTGCATTAGACTAAGCACTATTAGCCTGTGAGCAATCACTGGACACGCACACGCACGAGCAAGTCACGGACCATTTAAGACTCGGGCGTGAACCTACTTTGCTTGCGATTCTCGGAGAGCTTGCTCGCATGGAAATAGTTTGCATAATTTAGCAGTGTATTTGGTTGTTCTGAGTAAATAAATGCTTCTGCTCGATTTTATACCCCTGGACATATATATATCATATATCATAAAATGATGATAAACTGATATATGACTTGAGAAACCGGAGATAAATAAAGTTATTGTTGTTGTTGTTGATTATTCTTGTAATTATTGTTGTTTGTTGTTGTTGTTGTTGTTCAGTCCTCCCGTTTTACCCGCAGGGGGAAACGGCCTGGGTAACACGGCTTGGTAACCGCTAGTTCAGCGCAAGGATGTTTTTTTTGCTCTCTTGACTGTCTTGCTGCGGTTATTTATCGGTGCATCGGTGGATCTTCACTTCTCTTCAAAAGTGGAAACTGGTGCGGTAATTGTCATGTTTTGTACGTGTGTGTTTCTAACATAGCCTGAATTTCATCCGATTACTTCGAGTCGTTATTACTCCCTCAGCTGAGAGGAGAAAACGACTCGAAGCAATCGGATGAATTTCAGGCTATTTCTAACATCGATTGTGTATGTTCTTTCTGCGTCTTTGTTTCATAGTCATCACCGTTAGAGCGAAATCCAGGTTCTAGAATCCTTTTTCAGGTTAGTAATATCGCTGGGTTTTTTCCAAGTTTTCTAAGTCACGCAGTTAAAGGTAATTTCCCACTTGCTGTAATAATTGCTGGTTATAAAAGCTGAACCGATTGAAACCCCGAAAGGATGCTAAAAAAGACAAAACAATGCAGAAATTCGAAAAGGGTGGGTAAAGAAAATTAACACAGATTTTGAAGAATGTTTCTAAGTTTTTCTTTTTCATTTGTAATGCTGGGAAATTATGCATCTACAAATTGACATGGAGCAGTTGGTGAAAATTCATCGAAACGTCTGGGAAAAACACCTGAAAAGTTTAGTTAACTTGCCTAATTCACATGTCCTTTGCCAGCAGGGCTGTCAATCCCCCACATCTTCAAATATTGAGAATTGACAGCGAAGGGATAACAGATGACGTCATAATGTATGAAATATGACATCATTTGTGCAAAAAACATGTGAAAAAGATGTTGTTGGAATTGTAACATTTGTACCTGATTGGTTTACTTCCCACCAATCGAAATATTGCTTATATTACAATGGCATACCAGGGTTTCTGAGGAAACGTTTGATGCTAAAAGTGAAATAGCTCTAACAACACAAACTATTTGAAATTTCATTGACAGAAAGTTGAGGCCCTGCCAGGGGGGGGGGGGGGGCCCCATGCCGCCTTTCGGAATTTTAAAAGGTCCCGGGGGGGGGTTTTGAAATTCTTTGCCTTTTTTTTCGGCTTTCCCGTCCCGTCCCAAATTTGGCGGGGGGGGGGTGTCCTTTTTGCGGTTTTCTTTTTAAAAAAAAAGTTAAAAAAATTTTTTTTGGATTTTAATTTTTTTTTTCTGGTTTTTTTTCCCCCCCCCAAAAAAAATATTTTTTTTTTAAAAATAGAGTACGGGGTTTTTGAGAAAAAGTTTTGATAAAAAAAAGAAAAAACCCTAAACAAAACAAATTTTTTAAATTTTTTTTAAAAAAAAGTGGGGGCCCCCCGGGGGGGGGGGGGGGGGGTCCCATGTCGCCTGTCTGAATTTTAAAACGTCTCGTGTCGGTGTTTATAAATGCTTGTCACTTATTGTCGGCTTTGCCGTCACTGTCACAATTTGGCTGAGGGAGGTTGTCTCTTGTTGCGATTTCATTTTACGCGCTGTTGCTACTTTTTGGGCCTTGTCACTTGTCGGAATTTACCCTGGCAGGGCCTCAAAGTCAAATCTACAAAATATTGCAAAATTTGGCAATTATGCGGGAGATTTTAGACTCTAATCTGGAGACCGGGAGAAATGGTTCAAAATTGGGAGTCTCCCGGATTATCCGGGAGAATTAACAGCACTGCAAAAATCAGTAAAATTTTGTGATTTTGCTGAGCCATATTAAATTTTATTCTTAGTTTCAAACAGATCAATCTCAAACTTAGAAACTTAAGCAATTTTAAGGCTTTCTTTGCAGCAATGTTGATAGATGTTCTCCTAAGTAAACTGCTCCTTGTCAGGAGCTGAAAAACCATGGAAGGGTCTAATCTTTGTTGTGAAGCAGTGATTTGGTCAGTAAATAAAAGTTCATATAGTTTGGAATGTATTTAATAGCAAAAGTAAAATTTAATTAATTAATTAATAGACAAAACCACTTTAAATGCAACCAGATCCGTCAAGTTAAGTAGCTCTGTATACTTTGCAATAAAATTAAATTTTCCTAACCCAATGCTGTATGTGAGTATTGATGAGTTAGTGGGGTTCTATTGTATATTTCTTGTTCTTTCATATAGATTACATAAAGGAAAGCTGTGAGGATAGCTACCAGTTAACTGAACAGTGAAGTGTGAAGAAAAGGTAACAAAAGAAATGGAGGTTAATAAGTCGAGGGAGTGGCTGGCGAAGTATTACTCACCTAGCCGGTGGAATAAGCGCATGGGAGCAGATAAAGTGGTTCAGCATCATGTGAAAGTTTGCAGTGAATGCAGCGAAGAAACAAAACAAAGTTCGAATGTTGAACTGAACGTGCCGTATGGGGAAGGCAAAGCCAAGATGGATGTATTTTATCCCCCACTAAATGACCATGACAATGCTCCAGTCATTGTTTTTATTCATGGTGGTTACTGGCAGCAAGGTAGTAAAGATATGTACAGTTTTGTTGGTAATTCCTGGACAAAAGCTGGATGTATTGCAGTGGTTTTGGGTTATAATCTTGCACCAGAGGCCAGTGTGGAACAGATCATCGCTGAAATCCAAGCTGCACTAGAGTACATTGTTGGCAAGTTTCCTAAATCAAAACTGTTTTTATGTGGACATTCTGCTGGTGCACACTTATCTGCCATGATGGCACTTGCAAATTGGAACAAGGATGGGTTAGTTTCACAAGCTGTCCATGGCATGTTTTTGCTTTCTGGGATTTTTGACTTGGTTCCCTTGGTTAACACCAGCGATAATGATGCATTAAAATTGGATGCAGACTCCGCTGCAAAAATTAGCCCCCAGACAATTCTTCAGGAAGCATCTCCCACAATCCGCTGTCCTACACTGGTTGTAGTTGAAGAACATGGATCTCCAGAGTTCATTCGACAGTCAAAAGAATTTGATGAGATCTTGAAGTCACATGGTGTACAAAGTTCCTTTTTACAGCTTTCTGGAGTTGATCATTTTAATTTAATTGAAAACATGGCTGATCCTGAAGATCAACTTTGCAAAGAAATTTTAAAAGTTGTCCTTAAACAATCTTAACATCTTTTGACAATGTGGTTTTTCAAGTTTTATTGATCTAGAAATGCTCTTTATATACTGAAAAAAACTATGGTGGAATCAATCACACACAAAAATTAACCTACAATATTGCTAAAAATATAAGTACTATATCAACTCCCTTTAGTCTGTCCCCAGTTCAAGACAAAGTCAGAGCAGACTTGAGAGAGTTGAAAATGACCTCCCTTTTTTCATACTTTTTATTATAGATGTGATGGAAATTAAGAGACAATACTACAAGATTGTTAGGCAGTAGTGAAAATTTGAAACATGAAGAAGAAAGTTACTTTTTCCACTAAATTTGATGTATTAGAATTACAGACGAAAGACTTCCAGAGCTTTTCTCTTATTAATTGACCCACCCTGCATGACAGATATTTGAGAGGAATGGAAAAGGGAAGTTAAGGTGAGAATGTGATGGGCATGTATGTGCCATTACTCATGTCCCTTGCTTAACCCCACCCCCGCCTTCCTTCTCCTGTCTTGCAGGTTATCATCAGTGATGCACATATTATTTCTCCTTATTAAATCATTATCAGTGCTCAAGTTCATGAAATAAAAGAAGCTAAAAGGGTGTCATTAAAAAAATCTACTGCCTCACCTCCCCGAGGCAGGCACCCTCAATACCAGGCTTGGTCATTAAACTGTGCAATTCACTAATTATTATAATTATTACAATTCATTTTTGTGCAAATATAAGGACTTTTTTGTAATAGATTTTAGTATTGATTTGTTTCAATATCCACTTAAGGGAGGTTATTTTATCTTCCATAGACCCTGTCCTGAGAGGGGTGTCTACATTGGCTTACGCGTTCAATAGGTTTAAAACTAACTTTTGTGAAATTTGCATATACCAAGGGCTAGACTGAGCATTTACCTCTCTCTCCCATCATTTTCCGTTGCTGGAAATCATACTAGCAAAGGGAAATGTTAGGAGAACAGTGCGAGGAATGTGAGTGTTCTTGATGTTTGTGTTTTCGTAATGATCAAGCCCACAGAGTGGGGTAACTCCATATTTGTTTGCCTCTCTATGGGTATACCTACGGACGTCATTTTCCTGTTGCATTTTCAAGGGGTGGGGGGGGGGGGGTTGGTACTCAATAAAGTTTAATATGGGGAAGCTCCTTCCCGAGGTCCGAACCCTTAACCTTTTATATACCCTTTCTGAGGGAAAAGGTACCCCTTTCGTATACCTTCTATTGACAAATGGTAACCCTTTCACATAGCCAGTTAAGAACTTTCCATCCCTTTTAGCTTCTTTCAGTATTTATTTATTGTTTCATTTTTATATTCCCATTTTCCTCTTTTCTGACTGTTTTGTTTTTAATCGCATTGCCTTGGGCTAGTGTACCATCTTCATATCTTTTATAGAGATACTCCGTTTAAAAGGGGTTCCTTTTTCCAGGCTAGAGGTATATAAGGGGAGGGGGGGCTCATCATTTATAGAAAGGGGGGCTATGGAGATTTTTTCTTGTGGGGCGGGGCAT